CAGTAATCTAAATTCTGTTTATTTGGGAGTAAGCCCCATTGAATTAAATACAATGGACTTCTGCATAGACATGATTAAAAATCAGAGTCTGAACAATCAGACATTTATCCTCCACACCCATACAGCTTTATTTCTTAGAAGAAAGGAGCCATCAGTATTTGGAACCAAGAGGCACAAATTTCCCTTCCAAAATTTTCCAGCAACCTTTCTCAGAGCCTCTTTGACATCTTTATTTCTCAGGCTATATATGAGGGGATTAATAAGAGGAGGGAGGACCATGTAAAGTAGTGGAAAGATTTTGTTAAGGTCTCTGATGGTTTCATTTTCTGGTTTGAAATATGCAATGAATATTGACCCATAGAAGATAGAAACAACAATCACATGAGAAGAACAGGTGGAAAAGGCCTTCTGCTTCCCAGTGGTGGATGGGATTTTTAAAATGGCAGCAACGATAAATATGTAGGAGATAAGGGTCAAAAGAAAAGGAGGAAAACTGAACACAAAAGCCAGGATTAGAATGACATATTTCACAAGGCTGGTGTCACTGCATGAGATTTTAACCAATGAAAGAGATTCACAAAAGAAATGATCAATTTCATTGGAACCACAATAATGTAGTTGCGATATCAAGACCAAGCATATGGTGACCAACACAAGGCTGTTGATCCAAGAGCAACTGGCCAGCTGGATACACAGCTTACCATTCATAAGAGTTGAATAATATAGGGGTTTGCATATGGCTAAGAAACGATCATAAGACATCACAGAGAGCAGATAGCTTTCTGTACCAATCAGGAGAGCAACAACAAAAATTTGTACGTAACATCCTTTAACAGAGATGGTTTTGTCTCCTGTCAGGAGACTGGCCAGCATCTTGGGCAGAGAGGCTGAGCTGTAGACTGCTTCCAAAAAAGACAAATTCCCCAGGAAGAAGTACATAGGTGTGTGCAGATGGTGATCAGTCACTATGAGAAAGACCATGAGGATATTGAAAGCAATTGTCAAAATGTAGATCCCCAGAAACACAAGGAACAGAAAGATGTGCAGATGAGGGAGATCCCCAAATCCCAGAAGGATGAACTCTGTGATTTCACTCAGGTTTCTCTGCATTGTGGTTGTCATCAAATGCTATATTCTGAAAGATAATTAGAAAGTCATATGAAAGTGATAGCCGTTATACAATAGTTAAGTACCACTGAGTGAAGAAATGGAAGTGAGAAAGTTTCCATCAATGGTGTATCTGAAAATAAATGCACATCACCTGGGAAGACAGGTGAACTAATGTACTGAAGAATCATGAATCGTGCAGGCTGTTTATGTTAGCCAGATTTAATATGTTTCCCTCAATTATATTGAGAGGAAGGTATTTAGCTCTCCCAGAATCAGAGCATCTCTGCAAATGTAGTAAACAGGAACCTGATACTTTGGAGCATATTTTCTTTTCTTGTGATTTTGGCATTTATGCAACAAGACAATTATTAGAGGCCTTACAACTCAATAGGCTGATTTCTACCAATGGTTCAAGACCTGCTTTCGGACAGGAATGGTCAAATTACTTTAATATTGGCTGAATTTTTGAGTGCTGTCCATGTAATAATAATAATAATTTATTATTTATTCTCCGGCCATCTTTCCGGGCTTCCCCAGCCACTCTGGGCGGCTTCCAAAAAATATTAAAATACTGTAATACATCAAACATTAAAAGCTTCCCTAAACACGGCTGCCTTCAGATGTCCTCTAAAAGTCTGGTAGTTGTTGTTCTTTTTGACATCTGGTGGGAGGGCGTTCCACAGGTAGGGTGCCACTACCAGACTGGACCATTATAAAGAGATTTAAAGGTAAAGGTAGAGGTACCCCTGCCAGAACGGGCCAGTCGTGTCCTACTCTAGGGTTGTGCGCCCATCTCACTTAAGAGGCTGGGGGCCAGCGCTGTCCGGAGACACTTCCGGGTCACGTGGCCAGCGTGACGAAGTTGCTGTGGCGAGCCAGCACCAGCGCAGCACACGGGAACGCCGTTTACCTTCCCGCTATAAAGCGGTACCTATTTATCTACTTGCACTTAGGGGTGCTTTCGAACTGCTAGGTGGGCAGGAGATAAAGAGATTTAAAAGGTAAAGGTAAAGGTACCCCTGCCCGTACGGGCCAGTCTTGCCAGACTCTAGGGTTGTGCGCCCATCTCACTCAAGAGGCCGGGGGCTAGCGTTCTTAATTTATCAGTAATGTGGTAGTGTTGTATTGTATTATTTATGCAAATTGATTTTCTCTGGAGTTAGAGATCTGACGGGGACAAACCTTGTTATGCTAAGCTCATATTTTGCACAATTTGTATACGGTGTCTGTTTGATAATGTGTGGTTTGCTATACCTAATAAAGGATATTTGATTTTTTGGCCAATGTATTGGAAGAAGCAAAGATCACCAGTGTTGAAGAAATGATTCTTCAACATCAATTTTGTTGGACTTGTCATGCTGTGCAGACGCCTGATTATCGTCTTCCAAAGCAACTACTCTACTCTGAACTTAAAAATGGTAAGTGTAATACTGGTGGTCAACAAAAGAGGTTGAAAGGCTCTCTCAGGGCAAATCTAAAAAAAATGTAGTATAAACACTGACAACTGTGAAACACTGTCCTGCGAGTGCTCCAGTTGGACAACAGCCTTTACCAAAGGTGTCATCTGTTTTGAAGACGCTCGAACTCAGGACTTGGGGGAGAAATGTGCCAAGAGTGAATTGCATTTGGTTCCCATAACTAAATTAATCTACGGATTTCAAGGGACCTAAGAGCCAACCCCAGAAGTCTTCAGTGGTCTCTCAACCAAAGAAACAGAAAGCATTCAGCGCAGTGACATATTTCTTACTTCAGAATAAAGTGAGGAATTGACAATCACATATTTATTACAAAGCTTTAGTTCCTGCAGATAATTAGCACTGAATGCAAATACCTTTATCATGAATGGATGAGGAGCTGAAGTTTGTATTGAGTGCAATTTCTGAGATGCTGTTCTTAGGAGCAAGTTGCATAGTCTGTTTTCTTCTATCCCCATCTTCACAGACTTGATTGGAAGTTTCTTTCTCCATCACTGCTTTATTTATTTTAGCATCACATGGCATGTTTCTCCTCTCAGGCATATCAGAAAGAGGAAGCCTCTAGCTGGTTATTATATATTATTAGAAATCAAAGCTAAACATATTGAGAGATAGGGACTAATTGTCAGAGAAGGGAACATTAGCTTGAAATCTAGACCAAACTCACATGGGGATCATGCATCCCTAGTCACAGATGTGGGGCACTTTGGGGACTTCCATTCTTAGAAATGTTCTTTAATGAATATTCAGATTTTATTAAGGGAAACAAAGCCCTAGCTCTGCCCGCATACAATATGCTGTTGATTTGGTGACTTAAACTGTAAGACTATTAGAGTGTAATTGGTATAACTTTCAGGTAGGTAGCCAAGTTGCTCTGACGCAGTTGAAATATATAAAAAGATTGTCCAGTAGCACCTTAGAGACTAATTAAGCATGTTCTGGGTATAAGTTTTGTGTGCATGCACACGAAAGCTTATACCCAGAACATATTTAGTTGGTCTCTAAATTGCTACTGGTATTACTTTACTCGTGTGAGTTGGCCTTGGGTGGCACGTATTTTTCATTCTGCTTACCTTTCCTCCACTGCTCTGCATCCTCCCTTTTGCCTTCAAAAATCATATTTCTGCACTGATTACTTTAAAAGGAAAAGGGAAATATTTATTTATTTATTTTTATTTTATTTATTTATTTAGTTAGTTAGTTATTGGTTTTCACATATTACAGTACAATACAAATGTACCAAAGCCAACACCATTTCCTCACCATCCCCCCATACATTTACATTTATATTTCTTCAATCCATCATATTATTCTTTTCTCCCTCCTCCCACTTCCCTCCGCCCCCACTTCATTTCCTCCACATAATACAATTTACAATAATCTTTGCATTCTACAGTCTTCTCAAGTCATCTATGTATTTTATTATCTTTCCTTACTAATTTTTCTTCCATCCACTACTTCACATTTTAATCTAGGCCTATTAGCATATCTTTTTTGAGCAATATTTTGCCATATATTCATCAAAAGATTTCCACTCCTTTTTAAATTTTTGATTCGACTGATTTCTTGTTATAGCAGTTAATCTTGCCAAAATTAAATATTCATTTAGTTTGCAAATCCATTCCTCCTTTGTGGGTATAGTTTGCTGTAGGTATGGAGAACTGAATTTAAGATTGGGGGGAAATGAGAAAATAAGAGAATTCATCTATCTCTATCTACAACTGAACCATGGGAGGTGATAAGGATCTGAAAGAAGTGAAATCGGCAGATCTATTCATCCCTAGACATCCATAGGATTTATTTTACTTTATTCAATTATTTCAAAAGATGTACATACTGCTTTGTTGCATTAAAATCTCAAAGTGGATTTCAGCAAGAATGAAAACTAAAATTATCAGTAAAAGCAGATAACTATTTAAAGCTTTTTTAAAAAATAAGAGTGATAGTATGCTAAAATACAAATTAAAATACATGTCAATATTCCACATGCCTGGATACATAGGCCTAAAGGGAAATGTTTTTGGAGGGTGCCAAAAAAAGAGTACAGTGAAGGCACCTGCTTTAAGTAAATAAGCAGAGAGTTCAAAAGTGTGCATGAGGCTTATGAAGCATTTTTAGCAGGCCCAGTTTTACTGACTGATGCAGTTAAGTGGACATAGATGGAGTAAGGTGATGTCACAGTTCAATTTATCCCAAGCTTTATGTAGCTACACCTTGAAGTAGGCCTGATAGCAAATTGGCAAGCAGTGCAGGTTCTTATCAGAGGTGCTATATGCTGATAGGGTAGATATTCAGTTGCAGTGTAGAGAACCTCTGGAAAAACAATCTGTCAATGCTACTCTTCAGAAGTAGCACTGAAACCACTTCACACAATGCCTCCAATTGTAATTACTCAGAGTCATTCCAGATGGATACCTTCATCACTAGTATCAACATCTGAAGAGACACTAAGAATAACAAGCAAAGTCCCACTACCCTGATTAACAGTCTGTGCTAATTTCTTAAATATATTTGGTCATAGGAAAAAGTTACACTGAAACAGATGCTTGAAACTTCACTTTCAAGCAAAAACGTATTATAATGTTTTCAACTTCCATGCCTTCACCACCCAACTAATTTCTATAATTTCTTGCTCTGAGATGATAATGATATGGGTGAGGGTTTATATAGCTAAGGCAGTAATCTAAATACTGTTTATTTGGGAGTAACCCCATTGAATTAAATACAATGGACTTCTGCATAGACATGATTAAAAATCAGAGTCTGAACAATCAGACATTTATCCTCCACACCCATACAGCTTTATTTCTTAGAAGAAACGAGCTATCAGTATTTGGAACCAAGAGGCACAAATTTCCCTTCCAAAATTTTCCAGCAACCTTTCTCAGAGCCTCTTTGACATCTTTATTTCTCAAGCTATATATGAGGGGATTAATAAGAGGAGGGAGGACCATGTAAAGTAGTGGAAAGATTTTGTTAAGGTCTCTGATGGTTTCATTTTCTGGTTTGAAATATGCAATGAATATTGACCCATAGAAGATAGAAACAACAATCACATGAGAAGAACAGGTGGAAAAGGCCTTCTGCTTCCCAGTGGTGGATGGGATTTTTAAAATGGCAGCAATAATATATATGTAGGAGATAAGGGTCAAAAGAAAAGGAGGAAAACTGAACACAAAAGCCAGGATTAGAATGACATATTTCACAAGGCTGGTGTCACTGCATGAGATTTTAACTAATGAAAGAGCTTCACAAAATAAATTATCAATTTCATTGGAAACACAATAATGTAGTTGCCACATCAAGACCAAACATATGGTGACCAACACAAGGCTGTTGATCCAAGAGCAACTGGCCAGCTGAATACACAGCTTACCATTCATAAGAGTTGCATAATATAGGGGTTTGCATATGGCTAAGAAACGATCATAAGACATCACAGAGAGCAGATAGCATTCTGTACCAATCAGGAGAGCAACAACAAAAAATTGCATGTGACATCCTTTAACAGAGATGGTTTTGTCTCCTGTCAGGAGACTGCCTAGCATCCTGGGCAGGGTTGTTGAGCTGTAGACTGCTTCCAAAAAAGACAGATTCCCCAGGAAGAAGTACATAGGTGTGTGCAGGTGATGATCAGTCACTATGAGAAAGACCATGAGGATATTGAAAGCAATTGTCAAAATGTAGATCCCCAGAAACACAAGGAACAGAAAGATGTGCACATGAGGGAGATCCCCAAATCCCAGAAGGATGAACTCTGTGACTTCACTCAGGTTTCTCTGCATTGTGGTTGTCATCAAATGCTATATTCTGAAAGATAATTGGAAAGTGATATGAAAGTGATAGCCATTATACAATAGTTAAGTACCACTGAGTGAAGAAATGGAAGGGAGAGCAATATAATCTAGTCTTCAGTGCTCTCTCAACCAAAGAAAACTAAAAGCATTCAGTGTGACCAGATACTTCTTACTACTGAATAAAGTGAGGAATTGACAACCACACTTTTATTACAAAGCCTTACTTCCTGCAAATAATTAGCACTGAATGCAAATACCTTTATAATGAATGGTGAGGAGCTGAAGTTTGTATTGAGTGCAATTTCTGAGATGCTGGTCTTAGGAGCAAGTTGCATAGTCTGTTTTCTTCTATCCTCATCTTCACAGACTTGATTGGAAGTTTCTTTCTCCATCGCCGCTTTATTTATTTTAGCATCCCATGGCATGTTTCTCCTCTCAGGCTTTATCAGAAAGAAGAGGTCTCTAGCTGGTTGTTATATATTATTAGAAATCAAAGGTAAACATATTGACATATAGGGACTAATTGTCAGAGAGGGAACATTAGCTTGAAATCTAGACCAAACTCACATGGGGATCATGCATCCCTAGTCACAGACGTGGGGCACTTTGGGGACTTCCTTTCTTAGAAATGTTCTTTAATGGTTCAGATTTTATTATGGGAAATAAAGCCCTTGCTCTTTTACTTATGGAGTGATAAGAACAGCATGAATCCATGCTGTTGATTTGGTCACTTAAAAAGTACAGTGGTACCTCAGGTTAAGAACTTAATTCATTCTGGAGGTCTGTTCTTAACCTGAAACTGTTCTTAACCTGAAGCACCACTTTAGCTAATGGGGCCTCCTTCTGCCGCTGCACCACCACTGCACGATTTCTGTTCTCATCCTGAAGCAAAGTTCTTAACCCGAGGTAATATTTCTGGGTTAGCGGAGTCTGTAACCTGAAGCATATGTAACCCAAGGTACCACTGTAAGGCTATTTGAGTGGGATTGGGGTTACTTTATTTATGTGAGTTGGCCTTGGGTGGCATATATTTTCCTTTCCACTGCTGTGAATCTTCCTTTTTGCCTTCAGAAATCATCTTTCTGCAGGGATTTCTTTAAAGGTGGTATCTATATCTACACACACACACACACACACACACCTATGTGAAGAGTATCTTATAATATGATGTGTTTGCAAGGGGCAATGATCTCCTAAAATTCCTGGGTGTCAGATTCTCTCCATAATTTCTGAAATTTGTTAATGTGGGCTTCAAAATCAAGTCAGCTTCCTCAGGAGCTGGGCTTAGAAAGGTGCCATCCAAAAATAAAGATCAGTCACAGCTGAATCATTACCCTGACAAAATATGAGACAAGTGCCCTAGCTACTTCATTTGGTATCTGAACCACATGCCAATATAGTGGTGATCCAGTATGAAAATTATATTCAAGAGTATCATATCCTTTGGAGATCCTTCAGAAGATCCACAAGCTATTTCTTTCTTTCCTCTTTATAATAAATGTGATCCTTGATGCAACAAGTATTATATAATGGAAGATGAGCAGACTTTATATTTGGGAACATCCATTTCCTTTATAATTGATATATTACCCATATACAGAGCTATAGCTAGGTGATTTGCACCCCCTAGCCATCGACAAATTAGGTCTTCTTTCTGCCTCTCCTCCATCCCCCTCGACCCATTCAATGCCTCACGCACTTCACCTTGTAATGAATTCCTTTACAGAAAATCCAATATTTAATTTATTATTTCTTAATAAAAGGTTTTTGTGTGCTATGAAGGTCCCTCCAGCACAGCCAGCAGGTAGAGCACCTTCTTGCCCAGGGGCTGCCCCTTTTTGACTCCCCTGCACCCAGGAGAGCCCTCTCCCCCACAAGCCAACAGGGAGCACAGCCAAAAGGCCATTCAAACTTTCAGTTCCTAACTTAGCAGCGAAAGATTTTCCCCCACCTTTGAAATGGGCTCGCTGGCAGCTTCCTACCCCTCTTGATTCCTCTGAGCAGCCAATGCCCCCGCCCCCCAGTTCAATGGTTCAATGGCAGGGAGCTCTGCACAGAGAGCAAAGGGGCACCGAGATCATATAATACCGGTCCTGAAATACCTACATTGGCTCCCAGTACATTTCCAAGCACAATTAAAAGTGTTGGCTCTCACCTTTGAAGCCCTAAACGGCCTCGGCCCAGTACCTGAAGGAGCCTCTCCAGCCCCATCGTTCAGCCCAGACACTGAGGTCCAGCTCTGAGGACCTTCTGGTGGTTCCCTCACTGCAAGATGTGAGGTTACAGGGAACCAGGCAGAGGCCTTCTCGGCCGTGGTGCCCGCTCTGTGGAATGCCCTCCCAGGAGATGTCAAGGAAATAAGCAACTATCTGACTTTTAGAAGACAACTGAAGGCAACCCTGTATCGGGAAATTTTTTATGTCTAATGCTTTACAAGTTTTTATGTGCTGCAAGCTGCCCGGAGTGGCTGGGGAATTGCAGCCAGATGGGTGGGTATAAATAATAAAATTAATATTATTGCTATTATTATGTCAAAGGCCTTGCACTAATATGTAGAATATTTATATTGTTTAAACAACAAGAAAAGTACCTTCCTTTGTCCTTATGACTGAAACTCTGGCATTTTAACCAACTCAGCTAAGTAGTATGGCCCCAAAAGGCCAGGTAAGATTGCTGTGGGGACTAGATTTCTTATGTGAGCCATTGGGTTGGCTATTCTAGCAGTGGGTATTGTAATATTTAAAACGGCTCTCCTTCATTACTTGCTCCTTGGTTGGGAACTGTTGTAAAACTGCCAAGTAAACAAAACCTGGCTCTCCTTCGGGAGGTGGTCCCTCTGGGTGGAAACATACATATCTATAAATCACTTCAGCATAGAAGCATGGGAGTATTGTTGTGATGATTTCATGTACCTCATTCAGGTATGTAAAAGATTTTGGGGGCTTGTTTCATTTTGTTTTTGTTTTTTAATGGTGCATAGGCACAAATGAGAACAAGGAACTCAATGTCTTCATAAACCATTAAATCCACTCCTGTATGTGTGTGCATATGGGAAATGTTTTGCAAATTCATGCTTTTTTCTCCCTGCAGTATACAGCAAGGATGCGCTAAATATTCATCACTGGTAAATTAGACAATTGCAACATATCTCTTTGTTCTGTTAGGAGTTGGAGTGTCAACCACACCATAATTGAGAGTTTCACATCCATGAGGTGTGATTTCTCTGTTTCTTCTCCAATCAATATCCACTATTTAGGTAAGGAGAAAGCAACTTCACTTAACTACATGGTAAACATATTAGTTTTCTATTAGGTGATAAAGATATGTTAATAATCTTCCCGCCTTATTCCTCCAATTAAAAAGTAATTTAAATTAAGATATTTAAGAAGTAGGAATGTTATCTCTGTGCAACTTGAGAAATAACTTGAAAGGTTGCTGGCCCCTTTAATGAAGGAGGTTTGTCTAATAATACTTTGCTTGTCTACATAAGTATTTTTGCATCCTTTTTGTTGTATGGTATGCTAATATTCTCTTAAATTTAGCTTTTAGAATGTGTGGATTAAATTGATCATTGAGAATTCCATTATGAACTGACCGGGTGGACGACTCATATGTGGATCAGAAATTAGTTATCCAGTGGATTTCACACTGCATGAAAGTCCCACATTTAAATATGTCTGTTTTCAGGGATGGGGGAATCATTGTGAAGTGTGTGTTTTGAGATTTGAGAGAAATATATTTTAAATTTTATGTTTCACTCATGTTTTGTGAATAAGTCTTTTAACCTAAACTAGCTGGGGGAAAGCCCTATTTGTACATAGAAAAAGTTTATTTAATAACAATTTTACTTATTTCTAGATTCATTCTATGGAAAAGAAGGTATTGGAAAACCAAACAGTGGTTACAGAATTTATCCTACTGGGGTTTGGAGATATCCCAGCTGTCCAGGTCTTGCTCTTTCTGATGGTCCTGATAATCTACATTATCACCATGGTTGGAAACATCCTCATTGTCACACTTGTTATGGCTGATCAGCATCTGCACACACCAATGTACTACTTCCTAGGGAATCTGTCATGCTTGGAGACTTGCTACAGCTCAACAATCTTGCCCAGAATGCTGGCCAGTTTTGTGACTGGAAACAGATCAATTTCTTTCAATGGCTGTTTTTTACAGATGTACTTTTTTGGTTCACTAGCTGCAACAGAATGTTTCCTCTTATCTGCCATGTCATATGATCGCTATTTGGCCATATGCAAACCTTTGCACTACACAACCCTTATGAGCAACAGGGATTGCCTCGGTTTAATGATTGGGTCCTGGATAAGTGGCTTTCTAGGAAATACTGTATTATTTCCTTTGTTGCAGTTGACATTCTGTGGGGGAAACGAAATAGATCATTTCTTTTGTGACTTCAACCCCTTGCTAAAATTGGCTTGCAGTGATACTCACAAAATCATAATTGTTGCTTTCATGATGGCTTGCATTTTCACACTACCTCCCTTTTTTCTGACGGTGACATCTTATGCTTGCATCATAGCCACTGTCTTGAGAATCCCTTCTTCCACAGGAAGGAAAAAGGCTTTCTCTACCTGCTCATCCCATCTCATTGTGGTCACCATTTTCTATGGCACCCTGATGATTGTATACATGCTGCCTGACACTCAGTTGCTGGGAGATTTGAACAAAGTTTTCTCTGCCTTTTACACTGTCTTTACTCCAATGGTCAATCCCCTGATCTATAGCCTGCGAAATAAAGAGGTGAAAGAAGCCTTAAGGAAAATTCAAGCAAAAATAATTCAGGCTAGATTTCTAAGATAAAACAGTGTGTGTCAATGAATATTTGGTTTCTTCAGAATTGTATCCATTGCTGCTGTAGTGATGTAATAGTTATATTTGCACTGTAGTAGTTCCTAAGGGACGCGGGTGGTGCTGTGGGTTAAACCACAGAGCCTAGGGCTTGCTGATCAGAAGGTTAGCAGTTTGAATCCCCACGACAGGGTGAGCTCCCGTTGCTCAGTCACTGCTCCTGCCAACCTAGCAGTTCGAAAGCATGAAGTGCAAGTAGATAAATAGGTACTGCTCCAGCAGGAAGGTAAACGGCGTTTCTGTGCACTGCTCTGGTTCGCCAGAAGCGGCTTAGTCATGCTGGCCGCATGCTGTACGCTGGCTCCCTCAGCCAATAAAGTGAGATGAGTGCCGCAACCCCAGAGTTGTCTGTGACTGGACCTAATGGTCAGGGGTCTCTTTACCTTTACCTTTTTAGTTCCTAAGACATCATAGGTTTTCTATCATCTATCTACCTATCATCTATCTATCTATCTATCTATCTAGCGTCTAGCGTCTATCATCTGTCTATTTATCACCTTCACTTCCATTTCACATGTATAGA